AAAAATGCTCATCATCACTCGCCATCAGAGAAATGCAAATCAAAACCACAATGAGATACCATCTCACCCCAGTTAGAATGGCAATCATTAAAAAAATAAGGAAACAACAGGTGTTGGAGAGGATGTAGAGAAATAGGAACACTTTTAAACTGTTGGTGGGACTGTAAACTAGTTCAACCATTGTGGAAAACAGTGCAGCGATTCCTCAAGGATCTAGAACTAGAAATACCATTTGACCCAGTCATCCAATTACTGGGTATATACCCAAAGGATTATAAATCATGCTCCTATAAAGACATATGCACACGTATGTTTATTGCAGCACTATTCACAATAGCTAAGACTTGAAATCAACCCAAATGTCCATCAGTGACAGACTGCATTAAGAAAATGTGGCACATATACACCATGGAATACTATGCAGCCATAAAAAAGGATGAGTTGGTGTCCTTTGTAGGGATTTGGGTGCAGCTGGAAACCATCATTCTCAGCAAACTATCACAAGGACAGAAAACCAAACACTGCATGTTCTCACTCATAGGTGGGAATTGAACAATGAGATCACTTGGACACAGGAAGGGGAATCTCACACACCGGGGCCTATTGTGGGGAGTAGGGAGGGGGGAGGGATAGCATTACGAGATATACCTAATGTACATGACGAGTTAATGGGTGCAGCACACCAACATGGCACATGTATACATATGTAACAAACCTGCACATTATGCACATGTACCCTAGAAGTTAAAGTATAATTTAAAAAAAAAAGATACCTCAAATTTTAAAAAAAGTCAGACTCCTTTTAAGTAGTGTCTTTTCTGAAAGCTTACAGGTCACTAAATATGCAGCAGATTGGAAAAACAGAACAAAATAAAAATTAAAAGTCAAGGCACTGCCAATAAAGAATCAATCAGAAAAACTGATCACGTGAATCTATCATTCGAATGATTTTTAAAAATTGTTGATGTGATTACATTTCCCTTTTACCCAACAGGGGGTAGTTCCGATTCCAGACATGCAGCTGCACTGCCTGGATCCCAGGCCAAGGTCCTGCTAGCTGGAGCTTCAAGCACACACAGCAGGCAGCCTTACGGGGAGCTTGGAGCCTGCATCGGCGTGGGCAGGCGCATAGATGTTCAGGTACAGGCAGTCTTCTGACGCGCCGATATTGGGGTAATGCACCTTGAGCATGTGTTGATCTAAGCGCAGCCACTCTGAGTTCTGGAGGCACCTTGGAGAAGGAGAGGAGAAAACCCTCAGAAAAAGTTATCAGCAAACTTGCCTGGGAAGGGCCAGTTCTTCTGAGAGCAGTGAGGCCTGGCCGTCTCCTCTGCCTGAGCAGAAGAGGCAGCTACTGGTACAAAGTCCAATCATACCCAAACCCCCATGGTTTCCAAAACAAACAAGCAAGCAAATTATAATTCTCTTTGATCTGGTTCCTGGCTAGGAAAGCACATGGTGTAGAATAATTGCACCATTACCACCCACCACCCTCCTATGCCACCATGATAATATAGACACACATAACAAACCAAGCTGGCCCAACAATTCCCTAAACCACAGGGCAGGACACAGTCGAATAACAAGGGCTTTGCCCCTGCGCCTCCCTCTTCTGTCCCCAGAAGAGCAAAGGAACATTTCCAGTCCTCTGTACCTGGAACCAAACGGGATAGACTCCTGCACCCAGGCTTTGCTCAGGCCGGGCCCTCTGCCTCGACTGCTCTCTCCCCATATCTGCGTGCTCACATTCTTCCCTTTGTTTCAGATTCACTCTAACTTGCCACCTCCTCCCAGAAGCCTTCTGAGATTTCTCCAGTTCTACCATATCTCTTCTTTGGAAACACCCACCTACTTTGTGTTCTTTCCCAGAACTTGTCCTAAGCTTGTTCGTGTGCATTATCATCATCCCCAGCTCAGCTGTGAGCACCTGAAAGCCTACGACTCTGTTTTAGTCACCTCTGTACCTCAGAGCACCAGCAGAGCATGATACACCATAGGATTCAGTGAGGCTGTCATGTGAATGTTTCTACCATACTGTGTGCACAATCAATCCTAGTTGTTTTCGTAATAGAATAGTGTGCAATATCGCTGCTCGGCTTCTCCTGACAGGTGTTCATGCCTCCTTGCCCCTTTTGTATGTTGTTGATCAGGCCTCAGTGCCTTCAGAAAAGCCATCTCTGACCTCCCATCCAAGCTGGGCCAGGTGGGTTTTTGTTTCCCCTCAGCGCCCTTCCCTGACACCCTAATGGTTGCCCTTCCCATCTTATATTTTAACTGTCAATTACTGTTTACATTCCTGCCACCATCACCCCTCTGCATGCTGCCTGAGGACAGCGGTGACTCATCCCCTGCCATGTCCCCAGGCCTAATGGAGAGCCAGTTATCAAGTTGATTCTCAATGAATATTAGTTGGGTGAATGAATGAATGCACACAACAAATGAGTTTCAGCTTGATGTCCTCAGTCCTTGGACCACATGGGGTCATCTTCTGTGGCTTAGGGAATATCCTGGCACCAAAATTTATTCTACCAGGAACCCATGTGGCCCAACCTGAGAGCTTGACAGAATCTAAAGACTTGGAAGGTTCTAGGGGGATTTTCAAGTCTCACTGCCCACCCAGTAAGTCTCACCTCACCCCTCCACAATTAACCTGGTAACTGCTTACCTACCCGAGCTTGAAAATCTGCAGTGACCAGGAGCTCCTCACCTCCCAGAGACCCTGTGTCACAGAGACACATCCACAGGTTCATTCCACGGGTATTTATGGAGTTCCCCATCGGCCAGGTATTGCATCAGGCACAGTTTTGACAGCTGGAGCTGACACCCTTCTAGTGTGGTTCTTCTCAATAGAGCCCCACCCAGTCTGACCACAGAGGCCAGGCTTGGGTGAGAGGTCACAAGAAGATATCTAGACAGTCCCTTCTGACCAAATGACTCAGTAAGCCCATCTCAGCACTTCCAGAACACCTGGCTGGTGATCAGAGTCTCTAGAGAACATTCAGATAATAGTTTCCTGGGATCAGCTCGGGATACTCTGATTCAGAAAGTTCAGAAGGGAGCTTGGAGATTCGGCATATTTTTAAAGATGCCTCCAGCGTCCTGGCCATCAGTCGGTTTAGGAGTCAGGAGATTACCGAACCACTGGTTCGAGTCTCAAGCCCTCTCTTTCCCTCCTCCCCCATCCACGCCAATCCCTCTTCTTTCTCACTGGGCTGCATGACCTGCATTCCTGCCACTCCCAGAGCCACAAACCACCCGTGGGCCCGAACCTGGTCTTACAAATTAGGGTAGGAGGTGGCTTCTCGCAAGTTATCCCAGGGCGATGCAGGCTGAGGGTTCGTAAATCGCAGGGGTCCCAGCGGGGGAGCAGCAAAGGGGACTCCGAGGAACACGTTCACAGGCACAGGGCTTCCCAGCACGGTGACTTGCTTGCCCTGAATCCATCCCAGCCTGGTGTTCCTCTGTGGCCCTTCAGCAGAAGGCCCTGGGGGAACACATGGAGGAATCAGGAGTAGGCTGGGGACAGGCAGGGTCATGGCCCACCCAGCCTGGGGCTCCCCAGTGGGGACATGCTTCCTTCACCCAGAGGCTGTGCAGCTGACGGTATCCAGGTTCCCTCTCCATGAATCCAGGTCCACGGCTTCTTCCGAGATTGCTGTAGAAGTCACCCCCATGAGACCACTGACTTAGTTTCTCCTAGGAGCCCAGCAGCACCTAGCCACAAAATCTCCCCCATTCACTCAGGAACCCATCTCCCTTCTGCTGAGAGCTCTTTCTTTCTACAGGATTGACACACACCAAACTCTGTAGATCCTGGGAAGCCACAAACTCATCTTCCCAGGGATTCCTACACTTCTGTCACTCCACACCCTCCGGCACCACTGCCGGCACATCTGTGCAGCACCTGCATGATTACTGGCTTTTTATTTTTTTCTTAAAATTTAATTTCAATAAACTCCTTTTAAAATTTTACCTAGAAGAATTCCAAGTAATGACATTTATGGAATTGTGGTTGGTGAGTTAGGTATACGCTTTTGAATACACATGAATATTCATGGATGAAAATTTAAAATTCTCAAGCAGATGCTTCCTGAAATCAACCCATCTACTTCCAGCAGCATGGCACTTTGGGAGACTGGGCATGCAGGAGTCTCAGTCACCACACAGAACGTGGAGGCCTGGGAAGGAAACTGCCCGGCTACTTACTTAGCAAGACCCAGGTGTCTTAGCACTGTTTCTAATGTCATTTCATTACTGAAAGTTCTGTCACTGCAGCCCGGAGTGCGGAAGCACAGGCTCTACTCCTCACACCTCCACAGTGCTCAGGATAGTGTCCCTCTAAACCCCTTGCAGCGTGTGAGCAATCCAAGGGCAGAACCAGGGTCTTTTGTGCTCTACCCACCCCAAGAAGGAAGCTCTGGTCCTAGGTTCTCGGCAACACCAGAACATTGATGCCATCAAAGTACTACATAGCTCTCCAGGGACCCTCAGAGACCTCTAAAAAATAACCTCATTTCTACCACTGGAAAATCCTTGCCCACCCCATCTTCTGAGAGCCCTCCTCTCCCACTGGATATCTCACCCTTGGTGGAGGCTGCAAGGACCCAGATAGCCCAAAAAAGGATCTGGCCTGGGTGCACCCAATTCCCGCTCATTTGGCTGCCTGCCCGAACTCCGTGAACATCGACGGCTGCTGCTGACCTCAGAGAGCTTCAGTTGGGAGCCAGAAAGAGCTTCTTGTTAACTGGTAAGTGCTGAATAGGCAGGCAGAGGCAGCCGAGTTACTGAAGAACAGCATCAGAACAATATTCTCAAAGGAATTGACCAAGCAAGATTTTCCTGTTCTGATTTACATAAGAAGCTGATGATTAACTCTTGAGTTGGGGAAAGATAATTTGATCGGCTTTGGACTTCCAGGATGGGGGAAATAGAAAAGATATTCCAGACCAGGCAAGACATTTTAGGATTACGAGTGCCAGAGGCCCAAGGATGAATGAGGTTTCCAGCCCCGCTTGTGGAACACAGTGCAGGCTGGAGAAGCCGAGAAGTTTCTGAGAAGAGGAAGAAGGTTGCTGCTGGGACAAGCCAGTGGCTCTGAAGGCACAAACACTGCCAGCTCAGACTGGCAGCCCGGCTGGCCCTGCCAACAAGAGTCTTCAATGGCCATTTGGTCTACAGCCTCCTCGGCAACCTTGAGGCCTCTTAGATTATATTATTTCCCCTTTGGCCTTTCATAGTTGTCACCAAAAAGATTCTCCCTGGCCTTCAAATCTGTCCCTTCATCTGACCAGAAATATTATCAATTCTCTACACCACTGCTCACTCAACTGTTTTAAAGCACTTCACACAAACTATCTTGTTGCCAACACCACCACCCCCAGTGTGAATGTCTTTCTTCTCCAGCTTCTTCTTTAAAAATCCAATTTAACCGCCACCTCTTCCAAGAACCTTCCCCTGATTCTCCTGAACTTCTCAGTGCTTTGCTTTTCCAACCTCTCTTATTCTCTAATAAATCGCAGCCATGACCCTCTTCCTCCTTGGAGTACACCTAGGACTTTTCCAGGTACATATTCATCCCAGTGTCTTACATGTGCCCTGTGGCTTCCCAAAGCTCAGTCCTAGACCTTCTGTCTTCACAGTTTGTTCCATTCCCACTACCAAATTCACTATCAATTTACTTGACTTTTTTTTTTATTTAAATTGAGATTTTTTTTAAAGCTGTTATTAAAGAAAATTGTATCTACCTAGTGCAACAAGGATAGTGTTTTGGGAAGAACAAGCCAATATATCTTGCATTTCTATACCACAAAACCATTCCCTTACCTCTAGCAACTATTACAATGAAGGGGCGGTATATGGTCGAGAAGATCCCCAAAATAGGACAAACAGGAAAATCCAGCCCTTCTGTACAGTGGATTTTGGAAAGGAGAAGGGAAGAGAGGTAGGGAAAGCATGTGTTATGCAAAGTGCCCTGACTCTCCCTCTTAGACATAGGTCCTAAAGGGATACAGCAATGGGGGAAAGTGATGGGGTGCAGTGATGGGTTGAAATGTGTGCCAACGATGAAATGTGTGCTAAGCAGTGAAGGGTTCTCCAGGAGGATACTGACAGACGGGTTCCACATCTCAACCAACCTGGGGCAGCCACAGCAGAGCAGAAGTGGTTGGGCCAAGAGAGATCTCAGAGAGTGCTCCCACTTCCCTTGGATCCCCAATTCCTTGAAATGGATCCAGACATCACCTTGTGGCTTTGAAGAAAACTCAGAGGAGGCTACCAACCTGGCTGGGAGCTAGAGGAGGAGGAGGAGGGCAGGGGGCTACAGATGCGCTTCATGGACTCGAGAACAGAGTGAAACCACAGCCTGGCCTGTGCTGCAGCACGGTGCTGAGCGCTGGGCACGGTGAGGTGGGGCACTGAGCCAGCCAGGGAGGGTCAGTGGGCTTTGATCAAGACGAGAGGACAGACCATGAGTTCACCATGTGAGAATTCATCCTCCTCCCAGGAAGCCAGGCACCGGGACGTTTCTGTGGAGACCACAACAACGCAAGGACTTCTGCAGGTGGGTCCAAGCTCCCTCTGCCCTCTCACTCATGTGGTCCTATTAGCATCCCTTGACTTACACAGCCTGACACCATCTTGGCAAGGAGTGTGGGTGGGGTGGGGAGCAAATCTGAGAGGCTATGGATTTATTTGAAGTGATTATGCTATCTAAAGAGACTGTTTAAGTTACTGAATAGGACTTTACCAGACTGAGTTAGATGTAATTATCTATCATTAACCAGAGGGGCGAAGAATTCTCCATGCTAAAAATGGAAATTAACAAGCATTATATATATATATACATACATATGTGTGTGTGTATATATATGTGTGTGTGTATGTATATATAACACGCTATAATACCACCAAACTGAGTCTTTCTCTTCCACAAAATCAGAATGCAAAGAAAACTATAGAGGAAATGGTTTCCTAATGAAACGCCTTCTATTTGCTGTTCTCTCTAGGTACCGCCTCTGTCGCAGGCATCCCCTAATGCACAGGACCTACTCTGTGAGGAATACTGATAATGTCAGGAATCTATGCCACTAGCCTTCATTTACAGAATGCCTTACAGGTACCAGACCCTGGGCTAAATGCTTTCTTTGCATCTGTTACCTAATTTAATGTGATTAGTCTCATTTTGTAGATGAGGAAACTGAGATTTTGCAAGATGGGATTGCTGGTCCAATATCACAAAGCTGAGAAGCAGCAGCTGGGACTAGAGCTCAGGTTTCCTGCCCTTGAGCTGCAGGCTTTGCAATTTGGGGAGGAGGGAGTAAGAAAGGAGAGGCAATAGAAAGATCTGGGAGGATGGGCCGGCTTCTGCAGTTCTTGGGCCATGAAAAATTACTTAATCTTCTAGAAAGCTGAATAACCACCTTGGACCTTGATGTCCCCATCAGTAGCACAGGTCAGTGGCCTGGATGGCCCCTGGGAGACACAGACCTTTGATAGGCTCTCCCTGTTCTCCCAGATTGCTCTGCTGAAACCCTGAGGGAGAAAACCAAGATAAGGGCTAAGGCCTTGTTCTTTAAGCAGCTTGGCTTAAAACATAGGTTCATCTACCTCTGCCGATAGGTGGTAAAGATCAAAGCCCACTTTGGGATCCTCATAAAGAAAGGCTAAAGGAACCTTGAAGGTACGAGAGCAATGGCAGCTGCCTCAGGGTGGAAACCAGCCTGTAGGTGGACAAAACAAAGGAGTGGTGCTGTGGTGCTGGAATCAGGTCACTAGGCAATGCCCCATACACCACATATGGACCCACAGCTAGGAAGCCTTAAAGCTTCCATCTCATAACCTGTTCCTTCAAACCTCTCACATATTCATATTAAACCCAAACACTTTAACTTGACCTTCAAATTTTTTCTCATCTGACTCCATTCTATGATTCCAAACTAATGCCTCACTGCAACCCCACTGCTACCCCCACCACTGCACCCCATCACTGCACCCCCACCACTACCCCCACCACTGCACCCCATCACTGCACTCTACCACTGCACCCCATCTCTGTGCACCATCACTGTGCCCCATCACTACACCCCCACACTGCATCCCACCACTGCACCCCATCACTACACCCCATTGCAGCACCCCATCACTATACCCCACCACTGCACCCCACCATTGCATCCCACCACTGCACCCCATCACTACACCCCATTGCAGCACCCCATCACTATACCCCACCACTGCACCCCACCATTGCATCCCGCCACTGCACCCCATCACTGCACCTCCACCATTATCCCATCACTATACCCTACCACTGCACTCCCACCACTGCACCCCACTACTGCACTCCATCACTACACCCACCACTGCACCCCCACCACTACCTCCATCACTGCACCCCACCACTGCACCCCCACCACTGCATCCCACCACTGCACCCCATCACTGTGCCCCACCACTGTACCCCACCACTGCACCTGATCCCTGCACCCCACCACTGCACCCCATCACTGCACCCCTGCCACTGCACCCCACCACTGCAGCTCCACTGCTACCCCCATCACTGCACCCCCACCACTGTACTCCACCAATGCTCCCCATTTCTATAGCCCATTGCTGCACTCCATCACTGCACCCCCACCACTGCATCCCACCACTGCACCCCATCACTGCACCTTCACCATTATCCCATTGCTGTACCCTGCCACTGCACCCCACCACTGCAGTTCCACTGCTACCCCCATCACTGCATCCCACCACTGCACTGCATCACTGCACTCCATCACTGCAACCCCACCATTGTACTACATCACTGTACCCCCATTACTGCACTTACCACTGAACCCTCACCAATATACTTCATCACTCTACCCCACCACTGCAGGCCACTACCTCCCATCCCTGCAAGCCCATGGTTGTGCCCTATCACTGCATCCCATCTCTATACCTCATCACTGCACCCCATCACTGTACCTCCACTCCTGCATCTCATCACTGCATCCCCATCGCTATATCCAGTGTTTGTTATATTTTCCTCCCCTGGAATGTTTTGCCTTGAATTCTTTTTTTTCTTTCCTTTTTTTTTTTTTTTTTCAGACAGTGTCTCTCTGTCACCCAGACTTGAGTGCAGTGGCATGACAAACTCCTGTGCTCATGTAATCCTCCCACCTCCATCTCCCAAGTATCTAGGACTACAGGTGCACACCACCACACCTGGCTAATTTTTTTTTTTTTTTGTAGCGATGGAGTCTCACTATGTTGCCCAGTCTGGTCTCCAACTCCTGGTCTCAAGTCATCCACCAGCTTCTGCCTCCCAAAGCTCTGGGATTACAGGGGTTTGGCCAGGCATGGGCCACCACACTCAGGTGACTTCTTTACCTGATGAAATCCTAGTTGTCTTAAAGATTCCATGAAAAACCACTTCCTCCATGTAGACCTCCTCATTACCAAATGCTAGACTCATTCTCCTCTTCCCACTCATGCACTTTTTGATGACTCTATTATTTACAACACACTGCCTTTGTTCTATAGGTGGTATACCCAATGATAATGATGATGATGACTATGACAAGGACCATGTGATCTCTCAAGCAGGTCACAAAACTTCAGCCCACCTCGGATTTAAGCCACAGCTGCAGTGGACGGTAGTGTGCAGGCCCAGCCTCCCTTTGCACTGACAGCATACCACCTGAAGCATGGGTGGGCCCCTGGCTTTCTATTTTCTGCCCCAGGGAAGAAACGTCCTTTCTGTCTTTGCTCAAGTGAGACCAGAATTACAGGACAGATGGAGTCCTCCAGGAGGAACCCTCA